ACAGGTACAGAAATTGAATAAAGTTATCAAACAGTCTGCGCTGCATGAATCATAAATTATATATAGAATAATCCTTATTAAAGCTACAAAAGTTCTTTAGTCAAGATCAGTGAGTAATTTTCTAATTTCCCTTTGTTCTTTGATTAACTTTACCGACAGAACGCTTTATTCGCTGCTGGCCCTTTTAGAGAACCCGTTGCCGAGACGCGGATCTCACACGCGCCTTATAGCACAACTCTTTTCATCCATAGACTTTTCTTATGTTATGAAGGTACTAGACAAAACGACATTTTGGCATAATTGTGTGTGCTATTGTTCGTTCAAGCTCGAAAGAGAACTGTATATTCTGGCACGCGGTCAGTGCATGCGCATCATGGCGCGAGTCTCATCTATTCTAGGGCACTCACAGGCAGCTTTTCACTTCTTGTCGTGCAAAATGCGAAAAGACATTTGCACGAATAAGGGGGATCTTGTAACACTAGTCAAAGGATGACAAAAAAGAAGAGATGCTGCATTAATAGCCCTAATTTGTTTATTTCATATAAAATTGCGGCATTTTGCGTTATATAATTGCATAGGTTTGAGATCGCTATTACGACTGCGATATGATTAATCGTGCAGCACTAATGCTTAGTGTATTCTATCTATGCAACAGTTTTTTGAGCCTTTTCTTTTAACAGTTTTAAATTTCAGTGCGCATGAAGAACATAGCACTCTCGACTCCAGTGCACTACACCCGGCCAGGGAATGTGATTTAGAAAGGGCAATAAACTCCACTCCAGCAAGATAAAGTCATTTTATGCAAATCATAGACCTTTATACGGAGGCGTATTGCATTCACTTGAAGAAAAAAAAAATCTACTCTGTTTTTCTGAATTAACGAGTTAATTTTTCATGAGAAAAAAAATTGCTCTGTTTTTCTGAATTAATGAGTTAATTTTTCATGAGAAAAAAAAGTTTTTGCTCTGTTTTTCTGAATTAATGAGTTAATTTTTCATGGAATTTTTTTTTTTTGCTCTGTTTTTCTGAATTAATTAGTTAATTTTTCATGAGAAAAAAATATATTTTGCTCTGTTTTTCTGAATTAATGAGTTAATTTTTCATGGATTTTTTATTTTTTTTGGTCTGTTTTTCTGAATTAACGAGTTAATTTTTCATGGATTTTTTTTTTTTTGCTCTGTTTTTCTGAATTAACAAGTTAATTGAGAAAAAACAGAGCAAAAACATTTTTTCTCACGAAAAATTAACTCATTAATTCAGAAAAACAGAGAAAAAAATATTTTCTCATGAAAAATTAACTCATTAATTCAGAAAAACAGAGCAATTTTTTTTTCTCATGAAAAATTAACTCATTAATTCAGAAAAACAGAGTAGATTTTTTTTCTTCAAGTGAATGCAATACGCCTCCGTACCTTTATGCTTTATCTACAAATAAAGTATAATATTGGGAACATTGATTGATCTTGAAGAGAGTGTCGTCGTGTTACTGTCGCAACCGAACGCGACGCGCTGTGTGAATGCTGAAAGGAGAATGACTGAGGCGAGATGACTTTCCGTTAACTTTAACTTAGAGACTTAAATATTCATTTTACCACACATTATGCTATTGGATGACTTTAGAAGTCTTGGAATATAGTGTGAAAACTTGATTGTGCTTTACAAAGTTTTTTATGCCTTTAGTGGGGCTTAACAAAATAACACAATATGCAGAATGCCGGACGTCACTGAGAAGCTGCAGCCGTGGCGGGAGGATTTTAAGTGTGGCGGCCCGCCACGGGAGAATGAATGTAGCGGAAACACTGCTGTGGTGACTACCAACTAATTAACTAGCCTAATTATTGGCACTAATTATGCAGCTGTCTATTTAATGTCAAAAGTACTTGTAAATGTTAAGTATGTACTTTAAGTATCCCTTGTGAAACAATTGAATTTATAATGCAGATTTTCAACATTACAAACAATCTCAGAACATGCAGACTTCATACGTATGGAATATTCATACTGCATTCATGTCACGGAAACCTCTTTGGGGGCTTCCACACTGGCAGTTTAGTTCAGATTGGGGCACGGTTCGCATGAAAAATCGCTAATGTGAACGTTGTCATGGGACCAGGGTGTGCATTGGGGTACCGAACCCGAGACTACCTGGAGGAGGTGGTCTGAGTTCGGTTGCTCCCGAACCGTGCCGCGGTTTGCATGAATGTGAAACCAACACGGACTTGGGTACGCACTTGTTCAGGAATTAAAGTGACCAGTGCATGTGTTTTAGCTTATTGTGATGTATTCAGTTAAATAAAACACTTGATGGTGTTGCCTTGGATGCAAGCGAGAGTGAGTCTGCTGCGTATTCATGTATTGCGCGTGGAATGAGGGCAATCTCAAAAGAGTCCGTTTGCAAGCAGCAGAAGTCACCTTATGTGACACGCACAGTAACCCTGTATTGCAGCAGCACATAATAGCAGCAAATTAATAAAAAAACACAATATATTGGCCCGCGTTCTGTTTTCTATTACGCGCCGTGCACGTTTGCGATGCTGTAATATGCATGGGTATACCAGGGTTCGACAAAATCAAGTTGAGTGCGAGACCAGACCAACTCTGCGGGGGGCGCAGGGAACAAACCAGCCCAGTGTAAAAGCCCCCTCAGGCACAATACAAATTTGTGGTGACATCCAATCTGAATTTAAAATCTATGATTTAATTGCTCCCTGAGCGTGATTTGCTAGGCGTTCATTGTATCATGGCTAAAAACCTCCTTCACAATAACCTTCTCATGCCCTCTCCATCGCAGTTTTATCTTAAGCTTCCCATTTCTTTTCCCTTTCTCTCCCTCTGTCACTCCCACAGCCATCTCGTACTCCTCTGCTTTCTTCCCATCCTGTTTTCACTTGTTCTCTCTCCTCCTTTTCCTTTCTGTCTCTGTAATTTGCTCAGAGGGGAGCTGACAGTGAGTTCTGATACATCCTTTGGCAAGCTGAAATTCTAGGGGAAGAGAACAGTTAGCATGAAAGAAACAAGCCCTCGCAGATTTATGAAGACATTCACCATTGTTCTTCCTTTACTGCAGGCTAATTTGCAAATAGCAATGTCACACTTCAAATGTTGGATACGGAAATAAGCGTCTTCTGCCAAGAGGCACAAGGACTCGAATCATGAAAAAGCACTTGAGGACCCATCAGGAAGACATTTGGAGAAAAGAATGTAGGAAATGTAGTGTCTCTTAAAGGGTTACAGCAAACACATCAATGCAACACTCTCTGATTCCTTAATTCAGGCAAGATGTGAGGTGAAAGCGAAGGGTCTTTGGTAGGGTTCGCCAACGCCAACGTTCATGGTCTGCTGCTTCACTTTAGCTCTCTGACAAAGCTCCCACAATCCCACTCTTCCACCTCCACCTCAGAAACACACTTCACGGAAATCCTGGTTTTAACTCTGACAAAACTTTCTTAGAATGACCGATTGTAATGTTTATTGTTACTGTAATCATTATTATGTATTAGGGATGCAATTTATATCAGAGGCGGACAGTAACGATGTACATTTACTTGAGTACTGTACTCAAGTACACTTTTTGAGTATCTGTACTTTACTTGAGTATTATTTTTTCTGGAAACTTGCTACTTTAACTTCACTACATTTGAAAGACAAATATCGTACTTTTTACACCACTACATTTTTGTCAAAGTCCTTGAGTAGAAAGTACTAAGTAGTGATGTTTTTCCATCTCTAAAACTGATTTTTTATTTTTTTTAAATTTATTTATTTATTTATTTATTTGTGGCTGACAGACTTAGTGACGTGTAGGGTCATGTGTCGTGAAGTTTGATGATTTAGTACGATTTCTCTTTACTAGTGATCTGTGAGAGACCATATTGTTGTCACAAGTAATGTTTTGAAAGTTTTGTTTTCATGGCAAATAATTATTTCTGTTGTGCTGTTTGTTAAAGCAGTATTTCTGTTGGGCAGTTGTATAGCTATTTTTATTTTATTTTTATTTTTATTTTTTTGTATTTACAGACCATTTGATTCAAATGCGCATGAATGGATACACATAGATGTGTACTTCTTTTGTTGGGGTGGTAGGAGTGTTAAATAAAGAAAAAATGAAGATGATTATGGTTGTCTTTTTTATATATTCAGTTGTTTAATTCCTATAGGTTTTGTGACGTTTTTACAAACTGGTCAATGTATTCACTGGTTGCTTCAGAGTCATAAAGTCCTGTAATAATGCAACAATAATATAACAATCCATTGACATTTACTTTGTACTTTTGATACTCAAGTACAGTACTTTTAAAAACAAGTACTTCTGTAGTTTTACTTTATAAAAAAAACGGTCTTTACTACTTTTACTTGTAAAAGTGTACTATTTGACCAGTAGTATCTGTACTTTCACTCAAGTAAGGAAGTTGTTTACTTTACTTATATATCGGAAAATTTGGCCGATATAAGCCGATAAATAATGGATTATGACCATATGATTATGATTGGAATTACTTTAATAAAGGAAAATACAGTTAAGTTCAACGTGCATATAGGCTTAAAATTATAATGGAAACATTATAATTGTGTGCTTGGGTCGTGGCTGTTAATGGTGAGATTTTTGTTTTTTAATCAGACTCTCACAAATTTTAAAAACTTGGATTTAGATTGATCGGCCAATATATCAGTTATCGACTTTCAAGTATAAATAATTATTGGTTATCAGCCAAAATGTTCATATCGGTGCATCCCTATTGTATATTATCGCATCTTTTATGATAGTTTATGTTTTTCTGAAAGACTAATTTGATGACTGTTCCACCTCCTGAAAAGATCCCTGTTAACTTGGTATGTGCCCAATCAACATTGAATTATTAAAAACAAATAAATGTTTGTTTTGTCTCTCTTGTTTTCAGCTCGTGAGGAGAATGTGGCGACGTTCCGGGGTTCGGAATACTTCTGCTATGACTTGTCTCAGAATCCCATCCAGAGTAGCAGTGATGAGATCACTCTGTCCTTCAAAACCTGGCAGCGCAACGGTCTCATCCTCCACACGGGCAAGTCAGCGGACTACGTGAACCTAGCACTGAAGGACGGCGCCGTTTCCCTGGTCATCAACCTGGGCTCCGGGGCCTTCGAGGCGATCGTTGAGCCTGTCAATGGAAAGTTCAATGACAACGCCTGGCATGACATCAAAGTGACACGCAACCTGAGACAGGTAATCACGAGACCACAGCCGCTCTAGAGACTACTCACAGATAGATGGAGAACTAGTTCATGCTTTAGCTCACATGTATTTATGTAGCATATACTTTGAAATCAGATAATACTATTGGAATTACTTAATTAAGACATTGCATTGTAAGTTGTTAACTTGTTTTCTAATAATGGATGGGTATGTTCTTATTTTCTTCCTCTGTTTTCAAATCTTGAAGTCTTCTATCTCTGTTACTTGACGTGGTTTACTCTTAAGGGCTTCTAAACTTCTAAGCTTGACTTCAAGTCCTTTCAGTCTATGCTCCGAAGCTCTACAAGTGTCAGCAAACCTTCAAAGTTTTAGCTTAGAGACTGCATCAACTCGAAACTCTGTAGGCAGTGGTCGACAGTTATTTTCAAGACATTTGCATCTGGTACGCAGCTACAACAGCTTCGCAGTGAATCCTTAATGCATTTATTCACTCAAGAGACTACGGGCCTCATTTATAAAGATGCACCTAATCGTTTTAAATGTGAACATACCATTGTTTGGTAACACTTTACAATAAGGTTCATTAGTTAACATTAGTTAACTACATTAGTTAGCATGAACTAATGATGAACAGCAATTATACAGCATTTATTAATCTTTGTAAACGTTCATTTTAATATTTACTAATACTTTATTAAAATCTTGTTAGCATTAGTTAATGTGCTGTGAACTAACATGAACAAACAATGAACAGCTTTATTTTTATTAACTAACATCAACAAATACTGTTACAAATGTATTGCTCATGGTTAGTTCATGTTAGTTAATACATTAACTATTGTTAACTAATGAACCTTATTGTAAAGTGTTACCAATAATTTCAATTTGAAATCAACTTAAAAAAGAGCTTTTAGTTTCAGTTATTTCATCTAGCCGGTTAGGACACAATGTAATACATGCTCATTTTTTATGCTATCCACTTCTGCAAAATATTTGCCGTAATATTTGCCGCACTCTAATGCGACCTCTAATAATACTAGAATTATTATGTTAACATTTAATATTTTTATCTATCTATAAATTACAGGAACATCTGTCTGTCTGTGTGTCTGTTAATCGCATATCTCTCGAACCGTAGTCCGATGGATCTCAAACTTCACAAGTGTCTTGCTACGGGCACGAGTAAGTGCAGTGCCGAGTTTGACGTTGTTTGGATTAGAAATGCAAAAGATATCGCTAAATATATCGCTAAAAGAAGCACACATTGGCTTTTGCCGCTCTAGCCGCTGGCCACTCCCAGAGACAGAGGGACGACAGGACCAGAGACAGAGGGACAAAGAAAGCAGATTTGCTCCCTGAATCATCGCGCTTATTCATTTGAGCACTCAAACACACCAAACCAACAATTGCTAAAAACATACGGGCACACCGCATTATTTTGCATGGGCATTTTGCACTAGTTAACTAAACATTGTAAGTTTTCCTTTTAAAAATATATAGCCTTTCTTACTCTAATTTATTTCTGTCTTGAAATCCATGGAATTGTCAATGGAATTGGATAGTATGTGGGTTTTATAAATGAAGCCCCTACCCAGATAACATGTATGTAATCATTGAAACAATGTTGAGTCAGTGTTGATGCGTCAACGCAAATTGCATTGAATTAACATTACAAAGTGATGTTGTTTTAGTATCACTCTTGTACCCTCAGTTAATGGTGAAGCAATGTTGAGATTTCAACCAAAAATCAATTGTAAATAGTATTGATTCAACATTACAAAGTGATATTTTATCAACACCACGTTTGCACCCTTAGTTAATGTTGAAACAATGGTGAACAAAAAAATCAATGGTAGCTAATGCTATTGAATCAACATTACACTATGATTGATTCTACATCATTGATGCGGATTGAATCAATTTGGAAATTAACAAAAATAAACAATGGTAATATTGTTGAATCAACGTGACACTATGATGTTGATTCTAAATCACTTTTGTTGAAACACTGAAAATACAACTGAAAAGCAAAGTCAAACAATATTGGCATCTGATTTATCAAGGTAATGTTGAAACAACATTAATATTGCAACTACTCTTCAATGGTGCGTCAGCAGATTCCTGATCATTTCAAAGTTTGGGGAAAACCTTTTAAAATATAAATGACACCTTTCCAGAAAGGAAAGAAATAGGAGAAAAACATTTCCACCTTTAAAAATTAAATTGGCTTCAGAAGTCTGATGTCATTACCACAGATGGTTCAGCAGTTCAGGTTTTTAAAAATGTGTCTTACATCATGCCTCTTTTCATTTGGGTTCTCTGAAATCTGAAAAAAGAAAGCATGGTGTTACTTAAGAACAAGTCATGCAGTTGTCATGCCATAATCACAATCAAGAATTTTAATATACTAAACACAATATGAGTGACTTTTTTAAAAAAAGCTGCTGAACAATGTATTTTAACTATAATTATAGTATTGTTAAATTCTGTTTATTTAGCTAAAATCTATTAGGGCCAGTTGTTGAAAGGTAAGCTGATCGGATTTTGGTTATCGGATTGGATCAAATCTTGAAAATGGGTTGTTCAAAAGGGAAAGAAGGCAGTGGCGGTTCTAGATCAACTGGGGGGGGGGGGGGGCAAGCTGGGGCCAGTTGTACTGTTAGAGGGGCCAGTTACATTTAGACCTTATCATTTTCTGCACTGCACTGAAGGCATAAACAAGCAAAATACCATGTTTATAATTATCCAACAATTTGCATTTCCATTATATTTTACATTTGCATTACATATTCAGTATCAGTCACAGTAGCTGTATTTGAATTTCCATTATATTTTTTTTTACATTTGAATATATATATATATATATATATATATATACACACATATACTGTATATATATATATATATATATATATATATATATATATATTTTTTTTTTTTTTTTTTTTTGCAAAAAGATCAGCAAATTATCCTCTAAACTGGCCTTTTTAGGGGGCTTTCCTCTCAGGGTGAATGAGCTTTTTTATATATATATATTTTTTTTTTTTTCCTGACATCTTTGAAAGACAGAAGCAATAATTAATGCATCCTTGGCCAGGATATAATTATAAAATATGACATGATTTTAAAAGTGACCTATAAAATCAACTATGCAATACACTTTAATTTATCTAATGTTAATAAAATTATTAAGCCTATTTGGAGAGAGAGATGTTTATAATGTGACAATATGTCAGTCATCGTGATTCATGTAGTAAGGAAAATATGACTAGGCCTAGACTACTTGTTCTGAGCAGGTGTTGTCAGTGAACAGGCTGTGAAACTGTTGTCTAAGTTACAGACTGATACTAATTAACTGGGAAACGAATCGGTTACCTAACGTAACGTCGGTTCTCTCTAGATGAGGGAACGAGTATTGTGTAGTGTGACGGGAGTGTGAGACAAAAGACTGAAACAAGGTACTATAAAATTTTTTTAAAAAACTATATAAAAAAAATATTTCACACTGACTCCACATTTAGGGGTGCCACAAGGGGGTCCAAGCTTATTGTCGCAGGGGCACTGCCCCCCCCCCAGGCCCCCGCCTAGAACCGTCACTGAAAGAAGGAATCTGAAATCAGATTAGATCAGGGAATCCAATCCTAGTTTTAATCTGGATCAAACCTTCAGTTTGTGTTGTTTAAAACTTGTCAGTGGGATTTGGATAACTTTGAACAAAAAAAAAACAAAAAAAAAAAAAAACAGGATTATCCTGATCCCAACAGGGGGTAGGATTTCAAGGTGGATTTCAGGAAGAAAATGTAGTAAAACTTTAAAATTGGCCAAATAATACAATTGTATAATTTAGTGTACTTATATTTTGCACTTGACTTGTGTAACTGTTGTGACAGTGAAAAAGTAGACATAGGCTAACAATTAAGCTATTCAGTATAGTAAAGTAAAAATGAACTAACAATTAACTTGTCCCTATTTGTGTTTTGTCTCAAAATAAGAAACACTTAAGGCGTGCATACACTGTGCGATGTCTGTGCGATTTCAGCAAGGTACCTACTCACACTGAACGAGTAAATCGCATGCGATGCAAAGCCAAAGTTCAGGATTTATGTGCTCACACTGTACGGTCCGATCGTCGAGCTGCGACTTCACTGCTCACACTATACGTGTAATATCTGCGATAACCCCCTGGATTGCGCCTATTTACGTGTATGTATCCAGAGATATTGTCAAAACAAGCATCTGCTATCAGTATCAAGATGATTTAGTATTTTCAATTTATGCATTTAATTATTATTATTATTATTATTATTATTATATTATCATTATTAGGGGAGGCCTATAGGCTAATTTTACTATTAAATTGATCCGCTATTATAATTAATTTGCCACGCAATATTTTCACAGCACACAACCAACGTGCTGTGCAGGATAATAAAATATTAATCTTACTTCTCATTAAAAATTGTCTAAAACATTTAGGTCGATTACAATGAATTATATACATATAAAATAACCATTAACAGTCTATAATATGTCCGAACATTGCCATTATTAATCATCAATGAAAATTAAAAACAGGTTTATTTCAAAAACATTGTTTGACAAAAGAGGTGTTACATATCAGGTGGCTTGAAGACGGTGGGTAATATTATCCATTTTGCAACACGAACTGGAGGTAAGCAACAGTAATTTGTAGCTCGTTTTTATTTTAATTTTATTTTTGCTGCAGATGAAATGGTTAAACTTCTGTTTTCGCGCAGGTGCAGTGAGGGAAAAAACACTGAGTTTAGGGCAATCGGTTCGTAGCTTTGCTTCAACTGTGCGATATAGTCACGAGGAGCGACCAAAATTTCTGACATGCCAGAAATTCATCCGACCATCCGATTGTCGATCGTGAGAGGTTAATCGCCTCTCGTTTCTCCCTGTACACTGCACGAACACTGCACGACAAACGACGCACGACAAAGCTGAAAATCGGTCCGACGCGAAAATGAGTCGCACGAGTCAGAAATCGGCTCAAAATCGGACGAAAA